TTAAATGAAAATAACACAAATAATAAGACATAATGGTATTTTGATACAGAAGATTTTTTTCAAACTTAAATAACTATACACCTTTCCAATTAGACCAACCACTGCTTTAAATATAATCAACACTATTCAATTCAACACAGTTTAATCACAATCTTCATGTCTGGCTACACATAGGAAAGAATTATCAGGTGACTGTAACCACAAAGATAAATTGAGTGATCAGCTTATTGTATGTAGCAGATCTTAAGAACTAATATTCTTAAATGTCTCCTGGAATAACAAAATCTACCCCCACCTGCCATCAAATAAACATACAAATCTTGAGCTTAATGTCATTTAAGGGATCCATTACAAAGACCAGCAATAGACGCTATCCTCAAAATGTACATTTCATTTACTTTAAAACGGTTAACTCAAGACAGTTTAATAGATCCTGTCGTATCTCTACAATTGTTACAACAAGCATTTGGGGAGTTCTTAATCCACAATTTCCAGCCAAAAAAAAATGGGGGTAGATTTTGTTATTCCAGAAGACATTTAAGTATATTCATTCTTAAGATCTGCTACATATAATAAGCTGATCACTCAGTTTTTCTTTATGGTTACAATCACCTAATTATTTTCTCTCATTTGCTGCATGAACCAGAAAAAATGTCCCTCCTCAAACTGAAAAGTAATGTGTTAGGAAGAGGAAATGACACAGGTTACCACATGAGACTATACCAATATCCAAGTCTCTGATATCGAGGCCAGCATGGCAGTGAAGCAATCTACGCCCTTCAAAAAGGCCAACAGGTGAAAGAAATATGTCAAGGAGCTCAACTGATAAGCACCGATTTGGGCAGGTTTCCACAAATGTCCTAGTAACTTCACAGCTAAATTTAATTCAAGGAAAAGACGTAAGTTGAAACAGACATAATGGAAATAAGATGTTAGCAACAAATTACATCTTCTTTCATCTTGGAAAAAATATAGTTTAACTTCTTTGAACAAAGGAGATAAAGAGTAACCAGGATTTCATTTTTAAAATGTAAAACAGTATTAACTTTTTGTTTAAAAACCTACTAAATAATATCCTAATTTTTGATTTCATATTAAACAAAATATATTTACCAGTTTATCACCAAATTATTTTTTTACAAAACCTTAAACGGGTTTCTCTATCCCATGCTACTACAAAGTAACCGTGATTTTAAAAAACAGGCCAGGCACAGTAGCTCACACCCATAATGTCAGCACTTTGGCAGGCCAAGGCAGGAGAATCACTTGCATCCAAGAGTTCGAGACCTGCCTGGGCAGCATAGTGAGACCCCATTTCTACAAAAAATTTAAAAAGAAAAATTAGCCAGGCATGGTTGTGCCTGCCTGTAGTCCCAGCTACTCAGGAGGCTGAGGAAGGAGAATCACTTGAGCCCAGGACATCAAGGCTGTACCCAGCCTGGGTAACACAGTGAGACCCTATCACAAAACAAATAAACAGAAATCCAAATCTTCATGTTTTCCCCAGAAAACTTTCATTTCAAAGTATATTAGGATCTGTCGACTGCATTTTTAAGGTATTAACAAAAATAATGATCACTTCACCTCTACATCTGTTCTCTGAGAAGTGATCAACTTGCCATGTCACTCTAACTGTAACTAAAGAACATTGAAACAGCAGACTATATATTAAGATTTACCCCCTCCGGCTTACTCCACCAGCTAGCTAATACACAAATATGAAAAATGACAATCCACCTTTAAAACACGGCTTAAAACAGTACACTTAGAGAAGTTTTCAAGGGGTGAATCACTTTCTCACATTTTAGCTCTAAATCCAAAACCGAAGCATTTGTCACCACGATTCCTCTAAGAACCCTCCATTTTGCTGCATACCTGTGGGGCTTGGCTGGCTGCTGACTTTCCTGCTCTTTTGCTACTAGATGTTCCTCTCCCTGGTTGTCTCCAGAGTTTGCAGACCTTTTGGTATTAAGTATATCTTCCACTTTCCCACTATGCCAAATAACCTCAGGATATTTAAAAGCCATTTTCCCTATCAAATAACAATGAATTTGCAAGCTGTCTGACACTTTGATCTATCTGTATTTATCAACCTAGTATCTTTCCACAGGATTAATTTGCCAGGCATACAACTTTTAAAGGGAGGGGAGAAAAACAACATAACCATTAACAGCATTTCCAGTTCCATGTTTTTCATTCTTCATGGATCACAGTGTGTTTCAGAGATGGTAACGTAGTTGAAAAACTAAACCGCACTGACAGGATAAAATGTCAACATTCTTTTTAGATGTCATAAGTCGTTTTCTGTGTTTTTAACAGAAATGTTGGCCCCACTTTCTCTCATAAAAGCACATTTCTAAAAGGTAAATCCTTCCAAAGAAAACACATCTTTTTGAAACTTCAGAGGTAAACTCTGAAACCACTGCTTTAGGAAGGGTCACCCTTACAGCTCAATTTGCCTGAGGCTGTCCTGTGTCATGTTTGTGGCCTTGGTATAACTATTCATAGCACTGTCTATAATTCTCAGAAGTGTCCCATTTTGGACAATAAACCACATGCTGACCCTGGCTTTAGGTTGTGTCTCCTTCAGCATTAATACAGCCATCTGTTCACCTTGAACAGCCATCGATATTTTAGAATACCATCCCAAGCAAACTCATTCCTAATAATTATGCTTCTCCCCTTCTGGCCTAGACTACAGCAAAGAACAGAAAGATCTCTGCAGAGCTTGCATCCATGACTGCCTTACACTAAAATAGGCTCCCGAGATACTCTTCTCTCACCATGGTTGACTCCCACCTAGTAACAGAAGCTTACAGTAGGTATCAGAAGAATATAACTACTCCCGTATCACAAAACCTTTGATTCTTCTATCAAAAAAATAGAGAAAAGAAATATTCTTCATTTCTGACTATTGTACTCTTCGTTGAACACTCTCATAATTTTTTTTTTTTTTTTTTTAGACGGAGTCTCACTCTGTTGCCCGGGCTGGAGTGCAGTGGCGTGATCTTGGCTCACTGCAACCTCCACCCACACAGTTCAGGCAATTCTCGTGCCTCAGCCTCCCAAGTAGCTGGGATTACAGGCACCAGCCACCTTGTCTGGCTAATTTTTGTATTTTTAGTAGAGACGGGGTTTCACCATGTTGGCCAGGTTGGTCTCAAATTCCTGACCTCAAGTGATCCTCCTGCCTCGGCCTCCCGAAAGTGCTAGGATTACAAGCGTGAGCCACCATGCCCAGTCTCTCCTACAAATCTTTCTAACTCTCCTACTTGTTCTCTATTGGGTGTCACAGAATCAGTATGGAATCAAGTGGAAAATGTGTACTCCTCTTTCTCAGGAGTAGAGAAACTGAGGCAACAGCCAGCTTAGGTTATCCAGAAAAGTCACCTTCCAAAGAAACTAGTTCTATTAAAATCACATTGGGATCCCAAGCAGGCACTAGATTTTCCAAACCTTCACAAGGATCTCTGATTAAAATAGGTCACAAAAAAGATTATTTTACCACCACCACCCCCCAAAAAAAAACCATAATAGATTATAAAGTAAAATTACTGTCAACAATGTTTTTCTATGACCCTGGCAGAATCAGGGTGGAGTCAAAGGTATTGAGAACTCAATGAAGACCCCTGGGCATGTGGGCCCCATGCATTACACAGAACACAAAGTTTAAATAAATACATGTTAAGTCAATGGAAAATACAATGAAAAGCAATAAAAGTTAACCACTTCTCAACATGGTAGTACCAAAAGAAAAAAAAATGTAAGTGCATCAGCCCACATAATAGATAAGAACACGTTGCTATTACCAAATCACGATGGAAATTTACTGCAACAGATTTACGTCAGTGTGGCTGCTGCTGTATGACAGAGTACATACCCTCACAAAAACAGCACTACAATGAGATGATGGCTACCTCATCCTCACAAAGCATCCTCCTCCACCATAAATTCTTACCGAGATAAGAAATACTATTTAGTCTATTATTTTACCTTTAATAAACCAAACTAAGCCAGCTAAAACAAATCTAACTATCTACTTTGATTTTAAAAACCCCTCCTACCCTTGCCCCCAAATCTTTTTTTAATACCGTAACCTTCCCTGAAAAAAAACTAGTTACAGAAATCCAAAGGCTGAAATGTACATATTTTAATTTTCCTATAAATTCAAGTGTGCCTTAATAGAGGAATAAAACAAGAGATTAACCATTCTTGAATGAAAGTGATTAAAATTTGATTTAGACTCATTTTATCTAAAAACGTATCAAAAACACTAAAACTGCCTTAGGGTTTATTCTTTCTGGGTAAATGACTAAATCTCTAAAGCCAGTCTTGAAATTAATTGTCTAAAAGTCAGACGCGCTAAAGAAATGAGTAAGGCTTTTTTTCTTTTTTTTTCTTTTGAGACAAAGTCTCGCTTTGTTGTCCAGGCTATGGCGCAGTGGTGCAATCTCGGCTCACTGCAAACCTCACCTCCCGGGTTCAAGCGATTCTTGTGCCTCAGCCTCACGAGTAGCTAGGATTACAGGCGCCTGCCACCACGCCCAGCTAATTTTTCCATTTTAGTAGAGACAGGGTTTCACCATGTTGGCTAGGCTGGTCTCAAACTCCTAACCTCAGGTGATCCACACGCCTGGGCTTCCCCAAGTGCTGGGATTACAGGCATGAGCCACCATGCCCGGCCAAGTAAGGCATTCTTACACTAGATAAGACAAATTCAGAACTACTCATTACACATTTCATCACTTCTAAGATGCCATTAATTGGAGGATTATTTTATATACCACTAAGACAAAAAGCTGTCAAATAAATATGATATCACTGACCCAATATCATGCACCCAATATCAGTGACAGTAAAATGTGAAAAAAAAAGGTATCTTAGAGTCAGTGAAATACCCTCAAATTCCTATATACATCTGTGTTTTTGCAATTACAGATATGATTTATAGTCTTCTGCAATCAAAACCTTCAAAATGCAAAAAAATTAAAATCTCTTACCTTCCGTACTACATTCAGGAAAGGTATCAATGAGGGAATCTGAGTGAGCTTCAGCAGGACCAATTAATTCAGAACTATCATTAATTATTCCACCCTAAAAAGATAAGAGCAATTGTGCTTCATTAGCATTAAGAGCATAAACAATACTAAATTAAAAATAGTTATCCCAATTAAGTATGTGTAAAAATTTACAGAAACGACTATACTAATCTATTAAACTAGATGACAAGTGTTTTCGAAAAAATCAGTAAGTGTATCAATATTGGTTCATCGACTGTAACAAATGTACTACACCAACCCAAGATATTTAATGGCAGAAACTGGGGGCTGCAGGGGAAGAAGAGATACTGAGAAAACTTTGTACTTTCTGCACAATTTTTCTATAAACCTAAACTGCTCTAGAAATACACTATTATTTTAAAATTCAATAGGAATATTATCATGTTTATAATAATATGTGGTTTTTTATAAAAGTATATTATGTTAATTCTAACCAAGTACTCATTAAGCAAATGCAGAAGAAAAAAAAAATGAACTAAAGAATATTGTTCAGTATCTTTGGGGACTGGTCATTTTAATTAGTGATAAATGATGGCCCATCAGGAATTCATTGAATTTTATCAAATTATACCCTACAACATATCACACAGCACCTCAGGTGATCTGAGAAGCCATTTAAAGTTTGAGAACCACTTGTATACAATATAGGTAAAACTAAAAAAAAATGAAGGTACTTTCAGTAGAGATATCTTTTAAAGACATAAAAAAATATAAAATTGATTTCTCTATGTGGCCATCATTTTAATTCCCTATTTAGGTTTGCAAATTCACGCCTCAAAAAGTTATCTTACTCTACATGCAGCTAGAGAATGATGTCATCAGACAAGTAGTGGTGGTATGATGTTGTGCTACGGCTTTATGAAGTGAATGCTCCAATCACGATATAAGAGCTTATAATCCTTAAGTAATTAAAACAATAGCTCTTCTGCTCCTTAATATCTTCCCTTCTACCTTCTACCAACAGTTCTGTCCCTCCAAACACTACTAACAGAATAATAAAGCTCAAAAGAATTACAAGCCCCCATTTCCTCTCTACTTCAGCACAAAAAAATTCAATGACTATCTTTTTACTTTTTTTTTTTTTTTGAGATGAAGTCTTGCTGTCTCCCAGGCTGAAGTGCAGTGGCATGATCTCGGCTCCCTGCAAGCTCTGCCTCCCGGGTTCACGCCACCCTCCTGCCTCAGTCTCCCGAGCAGCTGGGACTACAGGCACCCACCACCACACCCGGCTAACTTTTTTGTATTTTTAGTAGAGATGGGGTTTCACCGTGTTAGCCAGGATAGTCTCGATCTCCTGACCTCGTGATCCGTCCGCCTCGGACTCCCATAGTGCTGGGATTACAGGTATGAGCCACGGCGCCCGGCCATCAATGACTATCTTTACCTAATCAGAAGTCCCTTCTCTGTCAACTTAATTTTAAGGAATAGAAATTGGAAATGGTCCCTGTCAAATTACCAAATTTTACTTCCCTGAGTGTTATGTGAACTAAAATTTTAAAAATGATTATTCTCTTTAGGAACAACAATGTATATTACTTTATTCTACCCTTTATTACAATACTCAGATTACAGCTTATATTTGAACTTTTCTCCAAAAAGAGTATCTATTGTAGACTAAGTCATCTTTTAAACAACATCCAAACCAAATCAAGATTTTCGAGTATTCTAGAGAATGTTAAAAGACAAAATAAATTTTAAAAGAAAGTATCTTTCAACTATTAACTACCTCTTCTACCACTAGGTGTGCGATTTAAGTTACCTACCTATAAAATGTCTTCTAAGACATTATTTTATTTTACATATTTCATGCAAAATAAAAAATACACACAAAGTATTTAGAACAATGTAGGTACTCAATAAATGTTTATTATTAGTTGACATAAGATCTTCTTGTAAGATAAAATTTAAAATGCAAAAAGAGTATCTGTTGTAGACTAAACCATCTTTTAAACAACATCCAAACCAAATCAAGATTTTCAAGTATTCTAGAGAATGTTAAAAGACAAAGGTAATTCTAAAAGAAAGTATCTTTCAACCATCAACTACCTCTTCTACCACTAGGTGTGCGATTTAAGTTACCTACTTATAAAATGTCTTCTAACTAAGATGTTATTTTATTTTACATATTTCATGCAAAATAAAAAATACAAAGTATTTAGAACAATGTAGGCACTCAATAAATGTTTATTAGTTAACATAAGATCTGGTAAGGTAAAATTTAAAATGCAAAATGTTTTAGCTCATAATCCTAAATATTTTATTTACCTAGTTTAACAAACACTGTTATAAAAAATAAATAGTAAAGAACAAATATTTAATGAAACACAACAAAAACCGTTATACAGGAACTAGAGGGATGTAACAGTAAAATAATGCCACAATCCTAATTTTAAATTTCTAACTCAAAAATAAACTTTTGGGTGTTTCTGAGTATGCAGTAAAAAAATTTCACAGAAATTCTGGGATACATAGTATCTCAAAGTTTTTTTGTTAATGAAGAGTCTAACAGGGAAGGACTTCTGGTATAGTGAAGTTAGGAGATCCAGCAAATGCTTTCCCCAAAAGGCAATTATAAATCTGGAGAAATCTGTCAAAACCACCATTGAGGGCTCTGGAAATTGACTAAAAGCATAAAGCAAATGCAACAGTGGCTACTGAGAAACCACGGAACCACAGGTAAGAACTATGCAAGTCTGTGATGTTCTTGCCTCGGTTCTTCCCAACCCCCATGCCAGCTGGGTGGTGACAGTAATTACATAAAGGCAAGGCAAGTCTTGAAAACCAGCAGGTTCACTTTTGAGGAGGCTAACATGATTTGGATTGAAGCACAGAAAAAAATAAAAATCCACCCCAAATATTATTGTCAATAATAGTAGCAATCTCAGGGCCAAACATACAGCAAGGAAAAGTGATGGCTCAGCACAACTGAAGCTGCAGTCAGGAAAAGACCAGACAGTAGGGAGATCCAGAAAAATAACATAGCCACAGGGGGTCTTCATAAAGCTCACTACCCATCTATGTAGGGACCAGAGAGGGGTCAAGCTATCCACGAATACCTGGCAAACCATGAGACAGTGCCCAGGCACGGAGGAAATTCGAGACTTCAGAGGAAAGTAAAAGCCAGGGCAAATTTTAAAACAGCTGAGACTTTGAAAACACATTTAAAAATCATCAGCATTAAAAGGAAAGCATATAATGCACAGGCGTTTAAGCACAAGCAATGACCGAGCACTGGCTGACCACAAAGCTATGCTGACACAGGTCTAACCCCTACATAGCCTGGCTTAAAAATAAAATTAAAATTAAATATTGGGCAAAGATATCAGCAGTCACACACTTCACAGGAAATGGACTCCACAGATTTACTACAGACTAAACACATTAACAAAAAGTGCTAGTTACTAAACACACTAACATAAAATGGCAAGAATCCTCAGGGAGAAAAGAACATCAGAACCTAGGGTTCTATAGTATATTATCCAAAATACAGATTTTCCAACAAAAAAAAAAAAATTACAGGACATACAAAAACACAGGAAACTATGTGACCCAAACATGGGAGGTAACCAGTCAATCAAAACTATCTGTGAGGGGACAAAGATGTTGGACTTGGCAAAAACTTCAAAGCAGCTATTAAAAATATGTTCAAATTATCAAAGGAAAACATGATTAAAGAATTAAAAGGACTATGACTCATGAAATAGCAAATATAAATAAATCAAAATTCCTGGGTGAACCTTCAAAACCTAAATATATGTGGCCAGGCGCGGTGGCTCACTCCTGTAATCCCAGCACTTTGGGAGGCCGAGGCAGGCAGATCACGAGGTCAGGAGATCAAGACCATCCTGGCTAACAAGGATGGTCTCTACTTAAAAAAACCCCGTCTCTACTTAAAAAAAAATAAAAAATACAAAAATTAGCCAGGCATGGTAGCCGGCACCTGTAGTCCCAGCTACTCGGAAGGCTGAGGCAGGAGAATGGCGTGAACCCAGGAGGCGGAGCTTGCAGTGAGCCGAGATTGCACCACTGCACCTCCAGCCTAGGCGGCAGAGTGAGACTCCATCTCAAAAAAAAAACCATAAATATATGTACACACACACACACCCTCTAAATCTCTAATTAAAAAAAAAAAAACTTCCCACCTAAATTCCACTCCTAGTATATCTAAGAGAAACAAAAATACATATCTGCACAAGAACGTACATGTCAATATTCATAACAGCACCATTCATAATAGCCAAAAGGGGAACAATCCAAATATGCACCCACACACATTGTAGATAAACAAAATGTGGTATATCCATAGCCACACAAACGAATATTACACAATCACAAAAAAGAATAAAGTACTGACGCATGATACAACATCAATGAACCATTAAAACATACTACGACATGGAAAAAAAAAACACAGTTTCATTCAAAATAGCATCATAAGATTAAAATGCTTACAAATAAGTTTAAGGCAAGAAGCTCCAGACTTATACCCTGAAAATTACAAAACATGGCTTAAAGAAATTACAGAATATCAGGCCAGGTGCAGCAGCTCACGCCTGTAATCCTAGCACTTTGGGAGGCCGAGGCAGGTGGATCATGAGGTCAGGAGATCGAGACCATCCTGGCTAACATGGTCAAACCTCGTCTCTACTGAAAATACAAAAAAATTAGCCAGGCATGGTGGCGGGCGCCTGCAGTCCCATCTACTCAGGAGGGTGAGGCAGGAGAATGGTGTGAACCTGGGAGGTGGAGCTTGCAGTGAGCTGAGATGGCACCACTGCACTCCAGCCTGGGCGACAGAGCGAGACTCCATCTCAAAAAAAAGAGAAAAAAGAAAAAAGAAAAAGAAATTACAGAATATCTAAATAAATGTAGAGTCATTTCATTTTCATGGATTGCAAGATAATATTGTTAAAATGACAACTTTCCCCAAACAACTACAGATTCAATACAATTCCAATCAGAATTCTGAGGAGCAAGCCAAAATAGCTCAGCTGGGAAAGCATCAAACTGGAGGATTTTAGCAGGTGTTTCCAATACCTTCAGCCAGGTGTGGTGACTCACACCTGTAATCCCAGCACTTTGGGAGGCTGAGGCAAGAGAATTACTTAAGGCCAGGAGTTCAAGACCAGCCTGGGCAACACAATGAGAACCTGTCTCTACAAAAACTTCAAAAATCAGCTGGGTGTGGTGGTGCATGTCCCAGCTACTTGGGAGGCTGAGGTGGGAGGATCCCTTGGGCCCAAGAGTTTGAGGTTAAAGTGAGCTATTATTGTGCCACTGCATCCCAGCCTAGGTGACAAACATGAGACCCCAATTCTTTAAAAAAAAAAAAAGTAAAATAATAAAATAATTTTTAAATTCTATGAGAATTTTTTGTTCACATGGATAAGCTGACACTAATAATTTTTATGGAAGTTCAAATAACTCAAAATTGTCATAACAATTTTGAAAAAGTAAAGTAGGCAAACTTACACTAGCTGACTTCAATACTTAAAAAGCTACAGTAATCAAGACAGTATCGTATTAGGATAAGAACAGGCACACAGATTAATAGAACTTATCAATAGTCCAGAAATAAATCATCATATTTACAGTCAATTTATTTTCAGCAAGAGTCCCAAGGCAATTCAATGAGGATAGTATTTTCAAAAATGATGCTCAGAATATTAGATATACACATACCAGAAGATGAATTTAGACTGTTCCTTCACACCATATATAAAATGAACTAAAAATGAATCATAGACCTAATTGTAACATTAAAACTTCTAAGAATAAACACAGAAGAAAATCTTCATGACCCTGGGATACTCGAAAAGTCCTGGGTATGACAGGCATAACCCAAAAAAGAAAAAAATATATAAATTATACGTCATCAAAGCTAAAAGCTTTTGTGCTTCAAATGACACCATTAAGAAAACTAAAAGGCTACACAGATTGGGGAGAAAGTATTTACAAATCACTTATCTGATAAGACTGTTTATACAGAATATATTCAGAACTCTTACAACTCAGTGACAACCTAATCAAGAAAATGGGTAGATTTTAATGGACATTTCACCAAAGATATATTTAAAAAGCATAGGAAAACATGCTCAACATCATTAGCCATTAGGAAACTGAAATTAATACTATGGTGAAATACCACTGCACACCTGCTAGAATGGCTACAGTTAAAAAAATCAGACAATACCAAGTGTTGGTGAGGTTGTGGAACAACTGATAAGTTCAGACATTACTGGCTATTTTCCATTTGGAAAACAGTTTGGCAATTTCTTAAAAACGTAAACTTACCATAAGACCCAGCAATTCCTCTCCTCAGGAATCACCCAAGAAAAATGAAAACAGGCCGGGCGCGGTGGCTCAAGCCTGTAATCCCAGCACTTTGGGAGGCCGAGGCGGGTGGATCACAAGGTCAGGAGATCGAGACTATCCTGGCTAACATGGTGAAACCCCGTCTCTACTAAAAATACAAAAAACTAGCCGGGCGTGGTAGCGGGCGCCAGCTACTTGGGAGGCTGAGGCGGGAGAATGGCGTGAACCCGGGGGGCGGAGCTTGCAGTGAGCCGAGATCGTGCCACTGCACTCCAGCCTGGGAGACACAGTGAGACTCCGTCTAAAAAAAAAAAAAAAAAAAGAAAAGAAAAATGAAAACATATATCCACACAAAGATTTGTATGCAAATATTCACAGTAGCATTAGTCATAACAGCCAAAACGTAGAAACATCCAAACATGTCCATGAATTTATCAATGAATGAAGAAAATGTGGTATTATCTATACAATGAAATACATTTCACAACATAAAATAACAAAATACTGATACATAACATGAATGAAGCTCAAAAACATTATGCTAAGTAAAAGAAACCTATATACATATGTTGTGAACAAAACACTCATATATTGTGTAATTCCATGTATTTGAAATGATGAGGAAAGGCAAATCTACAGACAGAACAAGGTGGTTGCCCCAGGCTGGGATGGAAAAGGGGATCACCATAGCAAGCAGACACAGAGGTGAGGTAATGGAAATGATCTAAAATTGGATGCTGGCCAGGCACAGTGGCTCACACCTGTAAACCCAGCACTTTGGGAGGCCGAGGCAGGCGGACCACTTGAGGTCAGGAGTTCAAAACTAGCCTGGCCAACATTGTGAAACTGTCTCTACTAAAACTACAAAAATTTGCCAGGTGTGGTGGTGCACTCCTGTAATCCCAACTACTCAGGAGGTGGAGGCAGAAGAATTGCTTAAATCCAGGAGGCAGAAGTTGTGGTGAGCTGAGATCTTGCCACTGCACTCTACCCTGGGCAACACAGCGAGATTCCGTCCCGGGGGGAAAAAAAAGGAATAAAATAAAATAAAATTGGATGTTGGTGACAGGTGCAAAACTCTATAAATTTACTGAAAATCAGTGAATTATACACTTAAAATTAGTAACTGTACTAATACTAATAAATAACCAACCAGTGAAGAGTATGGGATGGAAAGGTGTAGATAAAACAAGTTTAGCAATATACTGATAATTTCTGAAACCAGGCAATGGGTCATAGAAGTTCATTATACTATTCATTCTACTCTTACATATGTGGTTTTTTAAAGTAAGTAAAGTTTTGTAAGCAAGTGGCTATATGGTCATTTGCATGTGGCATCATCAACGTCTCTAAAGAGAAAAATAAACTATGATACTATAGCACACCCTGTGAATTAGCTACCCCAAACCTTCCCCACAACCTTCATCCATGATCAGAACTAGAAAGCTAAGAGTCACCTTCCCAGACTCCTTCAAATTAAGGATGGGCATGTGACCCAGTTCTGGCCAATGAGATGTTAAGAAGGACTATCTCTAGATCATGTTTCTGAGAAAGCTTTTAAAAACTGGCATGTTTCTTTTGGCCTTTTGCCTTTCACACCCAAACCCAGAAACCTATGTCATTGATGACATTACTGAGCTCTATACCAGCCCTGGACTACCTTCCTCACTCATACATCTTGTCATATGAGAAATAAATACCTTTTTTTTTGTTCAAGCTAATGGAACAAGTTGTTTTTTGTTTTTGGTTTTTTTTTTTTTTCTTGCTTGCTTTATTACCTCTATTTAAAATGACTGAATACCACTGTTGTAATATTCCCAAATCAGTATCCTGTTCCTGCCTAGCACACTGTTAAAGATAGTTCTAAGATACTTTCCAAGATTAGTTTGACTTCTCTTAAACTGTCCAACCTTTCACAAACCCTGAAACTGACAGTCTCATTTCCCAGTGACTTCCAGCAATGATTACAATCACCAATTCCCAGATCCAGAAGAAATAACAAAGAACACGTAACTTTTACTTAAATTGTTTAAAGTCTTCAAAAGGACTTCCATAATGCCTAATGTCTTTTAGCCATATGGCATGTGGTAATTTGCACGACAGCTTTTCACAATTTCTATAAAGCAATATTCTTGTTTAATAATAAAGTCTTTTTCCATAAAAAACATACTCCCTGACACATAGAAATAATTGTAACAAAGAACAGCAAAGAGCTAAATACTCTATCAACTTGACTTGGCTTTTATCCTAAAGATCTGCATAGGGCCATAGGCAGAAACCACATTTATTATCTCAGCCTAATTTGCAGAATGGTGAAAAATTAAGCAACACGGTCAATCATCAGAAATGTTATTTTTACTCTTCTATTACTATCATTATTTCTATTACTGTAAATTTGCAATGTCTTTCAAAAGAACTTTCTTCAGTAGATGAAACAGATCATAAAAAATAAATTCCTGGGTGACGAAGCACTGGCAAAAATAAATAAATAAATAAACAAACAAATAAAATAAATAATCTGTGTAGATCCACTAAAATCAGAAAAATTAAATATTCCACCTTTCATACATATCACTGGTTATATAGTCTAAGAAATTTAACTTACACAAGTGAGATTTTAGTTAAAGAAGTAAAAACAATTACAGCACAATCACTTAGATTTCTTTTTTTTAGAAGGCTAACTCAATGCAACAGGAAAAATGTGGTAATTAAATACAATGATATCAACTGACAACATATATCGATTCAGTTCAAAATAAATTAGAAAATTATTATTAAAAATGGTGGGAAAAAAAGAAAACTTAAAAGAAAGCATCACATGTCTAGGAACTTAAAACACTAATATCTAATGATCTTCAGCAATATAATTTGCACTGGTCTGCTCTCTAAAACTGTGCAGTTTTATATTTTTGTTATATTTTTATCCAAGACAATACAATTATAACAAATTTAATATAGACTTACAGTGGCTTATATTCCAAGAGTAATCTGCCACTGAAAGACACTTCAAAAAGTGAAGGTAAGTACTGGAGTTTCATGATACTTCATTTTTTTAACGTATTTCAATCATGACAGAGTGAGTTAAATAATCTCTAAGCTCTTTGCATCAATTTTTTAAGATCCATGAATCAAAAATACTCAGGAGTCTGACGCAACAGGAAGCTTGAGCCCAGGGACTCAAGGCTGTAGTACGCCATGATCACACCTGTCAATGGCCACTGAACAACAGGCTAAGAAATAGAGCAGAACCAGTTCCTTTTAAAAAAAAAAAAAAAAAAGCATAAATTTCTAAACAAGAAATAGGAGATATGCCATAAGCATTATTAAAGAGCTATTAATTTCTACTTTTATAGTGAATAACAAAATTCAAAAGTAAATGGTATTTTTTATTTTACTATACTATGAATTACAAAACAAAAGTATTTAATAAAATAGAAAATATTCCAGAAAGACTACCAAACCTTGAAAAAATCTTCAAGCTGTTTACTATTGTAAAGAGCAGGAATATTGGCAGAGAACTGTAGCAGGTCTTCAGCACATTGTCTTCTCTCTTCGATAACAGTTTCATCAAATCGCCCTACAATTAAATAAGAATCAACTCTTAAGGGAAGAATGATCAAAAACTGGTTTATGATAGTTTATGTCCACAGATCAGAAAGTAGCAGCAGGCCTATCACTTAGTTGCTTTGCTTATTATGCAAACTTCTGAAGTCAAATCTAATCTCTACAATTAGAATCAGCAGTACTCTCGCTAGAAAAGAAAATGTTTCTGATAAAACAAGAGGCAAAGGTGTCAACTGATAAATAAACGGTATGTTCATAATTTAGAGCCTGTCAATTTAAGAAAGTTACCATTGAAGAAGCTGGTGATTTGAAACTAAAGTTGAAAAGAGAATTTTAAAGAAGTGAAATGGTTTTCTATAGTAATCTAATACTGTAATTACTCATATAATTTTCCCTTTTCTACTCTTTTTGATTTATAAAGGGGCTGAAGAGAGGAAATTATGAGAACATCTGTATTATCAGTGGGGTCAAAAACCTCAGCTTGAAGCAAAAAGCTTTTATGCTAAATTCCATGTGTGATGCTGTCAGCATACATAACAGCATGCTTGTGAGAAAAAAAGAACACACATACAGCACCAGCCAGTTCTGCTTTACAAGGTGATCAAAAGGTGGTTTCCATAGAATTTTTAAATGATATATACAATTTGAATGCTGATAAGACATTTTCAAATATGATCATTTTGTAGTCCTCTTAGATTAGATTACCAGTTGACATTTATCATATGCCATGTATCATACTGATTGCAATAAAAAAATACAAAATCGGAAAAGTAGCATCATCACATACTTAAACATTTTAAGTGCCTCTGCAGAGTATTAACAGAAAACTGAGGCATAAAGAGATTCCTAGTTATATAGGCAAGGCAAGTGCCTATATGACTGGCAAGTGAAACTGAACCACTAAAATATCCTCTGCCCAGTGTGTCTCATGCTTATGGTTAAGTGTCTATTTCATGATAACTAAAAGGATCTGAGTTCAAATATTACCTTTATCATTCACTAGCTGTAAAATCTCAGGCAGATTATTTCCTTATTTGTAAAATGTAGGAAATGAATAATGTACTTAAGGTTCCCAGTTCCCTGCCAGGCACACAGTAAGCATTTAACAGCATATTACAGTTCTTTGAATCTTCAAGTTCTATCATAGTGACTAAAATACAGAGCATGCTAGCAAACTTTTATTGACTGTGTGAGTGAATAACAAAAACTTTTAAAAGTCATGTAAAAATAAATAAATAATTGACTTAGAGTGAAATGTTATCACAGACAATCTTCTTTTTTTTTTTTTTTTTTTTTTTGAAACACAGTCTCACTGTGTCACCCAGTGATCTCAACCTCACTGCAGCCTCAACCTCCCAGGCTCAAGCAATTCTCCCACTTCAGCCTCCCAAGGAGCTGGGACTACAGGCACATGCCACCACAGCCAGCTAATTATTTTGTAGAGAGAGGGTCTCACTACACTGCCCAGGCTAATGTCGAATTCCTGGATGCAAGTGATTCTCCCATCTAGGCCTCCCAAAGTGCTGGGATTGCATTGCAGGCATGAGCCACCATACCCAGCCTATAACAGGAAATCTTTACAGTGGATCCATACACAATCTCTTAGGCAATGGTTCATGGATGGGCTCCAGAGACAATAATCTCACAGAATTCCATGCATATATATATATACACAGGTGCATTTTTCTAAGGATAGGGTCTATAACTTTTACCAGTGTCCTGAAAGAGCCTAGGACCAAATAAAGGTCAGCAGGCAAGTGGCAGCCAATTAGAGGATTCCTAACATTCTGTATACTGCTTTACTTACTATAGAATAGGTTGTCCACTGCTATCCAAATATGTGTTATTGCTTTCTTCCTCAATTTTTATTCAAATGGGTACATGACAGCCCAGGGGCGGGGGCGGAGGGGGGGGAACTGTAATTGCCAGCTTGCTTTGCAGTTAGGCATACACATAAACTAAGTTCTGGCAAACAGCATATAAACAAGTTATACTGTAGCTTCCCAGAAATCTTTTTAAAAGACAAATGACATACAACCTCTCTCTCCTTTTCTTCTTCGTCCCTTCCCCCTTCCAAGAAGAACCAAGAAGTGGAAGGTTAAAAATGACACAAACAGGGTGCAGTGGTGCAAACCTATAATCCCAGCTTCTCAGGAGGCTGAGGCCAGAAGGATCACTTGAGCCTAGGAGTTCAAGTCAGCCTGGGCAACATAGCAAGACTACATCTCATTAAAAAATGACAGGGCAACAAGACAGGAGCTTGGATTCCGGGTCACTGTGCAGCTGCCACGCTTGAGGCTACCTCCAAACCTTTTGCCATGAGGAAGAAATTGACTTCTATCTTAAGTTTCTCACAAATAACCAAACCCAACATAATCCATTATGCTACATTTGTTTTTGTTAGTTCTCAGTTCAAGTGCAACAATTAAATTCAACCCTCCCAATAACAATACCAAATCTAAAATGACACTACTCACTTACCTATCACTAATATTATCTAGAAACAAATTTGCAAGAGCCCCAATAGGTAAAACCAATTCTCTGGCTTGAAAACAATCTAAATGAGTTAATCTTAGGAAAAAATCTACTGGTCAGCTAGATTAAATGCTCATTATTCCTTATTTTGCCTAAATAAGAAAGTATGAATCAGTGTTTATGATTATAGTACAACATATTTATCCCTTAAAAAAGTAAATTCAAGTGCCTATAAATTAATATTAATAATTGCGTAAATATCTAAAAGCTTAGAACAGTAACCCAGAAAATGCACACATTATTTTATGCTTCGACCCACTAGACTACCTGAGAATATCTTTAAATGCATTAACTACTTGTTGAGAAATCTTAACGAAAGTGTTCTTAATATTTAATAGTACCCTAAAAAGATCTTATTTCTATCTGAAACAAATACAAAAAAAATTAGAGGCTTTAATCTTCCCCATTCAGCTAAAGTAAAACACTTAAGCAATGGAATAAATGCCAAAAGCATATCTTCTTGTACTTCTATTGATTTATTGTTTCTATTCCACTAAACTTTGACAAGCAGATATGAATTGAGACATTTTTTTCAGAATAGTGCACAACCAAAAATAAAGCGTTATGCATTAAATAAGCTTCAATTACATTGAATCCTATCATCAGAACAAATACGATAAAGGAACATGCTCATTTCTTTGTTCCTAAAATACTTCAGAATAACAACAGAAGAATGGTATTAAGTGGGCAAAGGACATGAACAGACACGCACTTCTCAAAAGAAGACACACAAGCAACCAACAAACATGAAAATATGCTCAACATCACTGATCATCAGAAAAATGCAAATCAAAACCATAATGAGACACCACCTCACGCCAGTCAGAATGGCTGTTATTAAAAAGTTAAAAAATAACAGATGCTGGCGAGGTTGCACAGAATAAGGAATGCTCACAAACTGTTCGTGGGAGCATAAATTAGTTCAGCCCCTGTGGAAGGCATGTTTGAGATTTTTCAAATAACTAAAAATAAAATTACCATTTTACCCAGCCATCCCATCACTAGGGATATACTCAAAGGAAAAATAAATTGTTCTACCAAAAAGTCACCTGCACTCTCATGTTTATCATAGCACTATTCATGATAGTAAAGACATGGGATCAATCTAGGTGCCCATCAACAGCAGACTGGATAAAGAAAATGTGGTACATATACACCATGGAATACTACACAGTCATAAAAAAGAATGAAATAATGTCCTGTGCAGCAACATGGATGCAGGTGGAGGCCATTATCCTAAGTGAATTAACACAGGAATAGAAAACTAAATACCACATGTTCTCACTTATAAGTGAGAGTTAAACACTGGGTACACATGGACACAAAGATGGGCACAACAGACATTGAGAACTCCAAAAGTGGGGATGGAAAGAGGGAGATAACTGTTAAAAAACTATCTATTGGGTACTATATTCATTATTTGGGTGGTAAGTTCATTTGAAGCCCAGATCTCAACACCACACAACATACCCAGGTAACAAACCTGCACATGTACCTGCTGAATCTAAAAAGAAACAATGTTTTCCCGTTTCCTGATAATAATAAAATTTTTAAGAGACCATTAACACATGAATTAGACAAACAACTGACTGGGAGAAAACATTTGCAAAACATCAAACTACTGGTATCTAAGATATACAAAGAACTCCAGCCCCACAAAATAGGCAAAAGATGTAAACAGATACTTCAGGAAAAAAAAAAAAGGATGTATCAGTGGCTAATAAGCATGTGAAAAAATCTTTAGCCTATTAGTAATCAAGGAACTGAAAGTTAAAACCACAATAAGATACCATTGCACATGCCCCAGAATGGCTAAAATTAAAAAGGCTAATAATGCCCAATGTTGGTAAGAGTGTGAAGCAGCCAGAAATTTCATACATTGTTGATGGGAATATCAAATGACACAAGCACTTTTGGAAAGTCTCTTAGTTTCTTATAAAATAAAACATACACCTATCTTATGATCCAGAAATTATATTCCTAGCTATTTACCCAAGAGAAACATATATCCAGATAAAGATGCTTATCATAGACTTACTTAAAAATCGCCCCAAACTGGTAATATTCCAGGTGCCCATTGACAGGACAGTGGATAAACAGACTGTGGTACATTTAAACCAAACAGCAATAACAAGGAATGAACCTCTGATGAACACAATAGTATGGATGAATCCCAAAAACATGTTGCAGGAGGGAAGCCAGATACAAAAAGTTTGTACGGCATGATTCCATTTACAATCCAGGACATACAAAACTAATATATAGTAGAAAAAGTTCCTTCTAGGGAGCTTGAGGGCAAGGATTGACAGGGAAGGGACAAGAAGCAAACTTTTAGGTGTTGGTAATGCTCTATATCTTGATAGGGGTTTGGGTTATATAGATATATGTTTGTCACACATATGATGGGACACTTAAGATTTGTGCATTTAACTGTATGTAAACTTATCTAAACAAAATGTAAACAAATATGGAACTCTT